TTTTCTCCAGTGTGTTTTTTCCAAAGATGGCATTGTGAGAATAAAGACTCCGTGCATCCATAAGTACTCATCTGAAAGCGCACAGCAGCAGCAGTGATTGCCATGTCAGACATTTGTTAGGACACCACTCGAAAATGGATGGTTGTTTTTTTTTTTCCCCTCTGTCTTTTATCAAGGACAAAGAAGTTGAAGTCACACTAAAAATTATTTAAGAACTTGAAAACAAACCGCCTGCTGTAGTCAGCAATTCACGGGCTCAGTTAAAAAAAAAACTCTTCTGAAGTTAATTAAGCGACTCACCTGGATTATGACAGACTCTGGAGCAGGCCCAGGTGATCACTAAGAAACACTCCAGAAAGCAGTGACACCTAATGGCAAACGTGCCTGAGGAGGATAGCAAGCCATAATCTATGGCATGGAAAATTATTCCTTTTTAGCTGCAGAGTAACTAGCACTAAAACACATTACAGGGACTGAAATACTATGTCAAATCTAAGCACCTGGGAGAGAGTTTAAGGAAGAGCACACATAGAAACACAGAGCGTGTCACACATGCTGTGCATTTAAGTAGAACATAGTTACTGCTAAAATCTACTGGCTGCTAAACCACAGCGCACTGTATTCCAGGTCTTCACCCATACGTATGCTTAAAATAAGCAACCTTGGCACGTTCTAGACCAGTGAAAACAGAGACCTGAATGCTCATCTGTAGACACTATAGGTACACAGAGGTTTTTTAATAAATCTGTTTTGCTTGCTTGTCCCATGCTTTACAAAATGTATGTGAGACTATTGTAATAAACAGTTAGGGACATACACTACATACCTTCTAATGAGGCTTTACCAATAGCACAGCAAATTAAAGTCCCATTACCAATACACAACACTACAAGCCAAGCTGTATTGTACTACTACAGTTTACAAGACAAAACATGGATGTACATACCACCAAGCTAGATGACTCACTTTCCCTTACAAAAAAATTTGTATGTTTTAAGGGCACTACCATATCAACAGAAGTAGTAAGCAACAGATTCCATGTTGGAATTGCCACGATACTATTATCCATGGTAAAGAAGAGCTTAAAAGTATGAACCAAAACTCGGGGCCAGGCAATGCTGGGAACTTGTCTAACACAAGGAATGCAGCAGTCCTGGCCTGAAAAGTCTAAAAGCTCAGCAGAGTAAGGAAAAAGCAGATCTGATTTTCTCTCTCAGAAAAAAAAAATCTAGCACGTATATATATAAAAATATATATTAAAATCATATGTATAAATATCTATCAAAGCATATATATATGACTATGTATTATATATATTTCTGAACTTGCCATTGAAAATAAAAAAAGCTAAAGATAGTACGCAACTCACTGTCTGACTGAAGCCACTGATAAATATAAAAACCCCCAACTTGAAGTAATCAGGGTGCCTGAGCTATTGCTGCACACCACTGCAATGAATTAGCCTTTAAAAATACTTAAGTGTATTTTTTCAGCAAAAACCCTTGTACCATACTATGTGACCACTGACCTCAGTGATTTTGCTGCACCTAATGCACACATATTTGCATACATGTTTCTATAGGCACAATAGGAAATCCATTTGCACATACAGATTTATTACTATGTACATATCAAAGGAAAAAAAAGAGCACAAAGTACAAAATATAAAAGCATGAGACCATCAGCTGTAGAAGATACAAAGCATACACAAATTGTTCAGTTGACAAGGAATGCCACCTAATCCCTGCTTAATTAAAGCACTGTTCTAAACTCCTGTTTAGGGAGTGAGGAGTGTGGGACGACTGATGTATGAAGAAAATATCAGGCAGCGTGGCTAATCTCAAAGACTTTGGAGCTTTCGAGCTACATAAATCAGAGCGACTTTTTGAATAGCCTCATAAAACACAAAATCATTGCCATTCCGCTCACGACCTTCAGATTCTTCCTACAGCATACAGATCATTAGGAAACTTCTAAGCAATCAAGTAATGTGGGGCTGATGAAATTACTCAATCAATGCATGGGCTGAGAGAAGCAGCATAATACAGAATTGCAGTTTTGACATGGGAACCCTACCCCTTTCTTTTTTATATAGGGGTAAGGAAAATTACAGTGGAGTCGATTCATCTCAACATTTTCACAAGAGTGCTTAATGTAGTCTTTCTGAACTGCCAGTTCCTATTTATAATAGCAGGGCAGCAGAAACGTACAGACTATAAGCAGCCCTACGAATGTTTAAAATATGATCTAGGAAAACGTTTGGGTTATGTTCCCCTTCCCCCAGTGTGTACACACAGACCTGCTCTAAGGATCAAAACCAGCAGCTGTAACCATTCAGAAAACAAAAATATGAAAAAGCCTATCACAGATAAATACCAGTCACCACACCCCTCCCACTGCCGTCACCAAGTCGTTAATCTCTACTCACTAAATTGTAACATTTTCTGTCATTGCCTAAGAGATGGCTGATAACATACTTCAATACAGAAAACATCCCTCTACAGGAAACACATCAAATAATGTGTAGGCAAGCAAGACAGCACATTATACCAAAAAAGTACACGCTATCAGAAAAAGGGTACGCACAGGTAACATGTTATTTCTTATGACCATCTGCCTCTCCCAAACATGTGAAAATATTTTCCACTTGAGTAGCTTAACACTGTACAATGAGAAAAAGGTAATGCATTTATTTTGTTTGTTGCCTAAGGCATCAGTACTACCTCTGGTGGTATTTCCTTTCCCCTGAACGGAGAATTTTGTTTTTTTTCTTTGGCTTTAGGAATTCTGCAGTTAATTTGTTCATAGAGTGCCCTGCTACTGCTTTTGCTAACTCATATAAATAAATACAGATATTAGTTATGCCTAAACATCTTATACATACCTTTACTCAGTACAAGCAGGAAAAAGCAAAGGAGGGTCAGAACATGCAGGTCACAAAATACAGTAGTGTTACTAGGGTACAACTCACAGATGAAAATTTGGCCAAGTTGGAATATTTAGCTGTCTATCCATTTAGTGTTAAATAGTTCTAGTTTCAGGTAATTTGTTTTCAGTGTATTCATTTTAGTAGATTTAAAACTCTGTAACAATTATCAGTTTGCAATTTTCACAGTAACATAAACTAGTGTATAAAAAGAGGTAATCCCCTTGTCAACCATACTGATTGTCTCTCAAGACATATTAATCGTGTGAGAAGCAACTATTTTGGGTTGGTTGGGTTTTTTTTGCTTTCAATGGGGATTTACTGTGTTGATGCATCTAATCACTGACAGCATTATAAAAAACATTAGTGGTAAAATGTGTTGCACCCATCATGTATAAACAAGCAAAACAAATAAAATTGTCATTAAAACAAAGACAGAAAAGGTATCATCTCCCTTGATACTAGTGCAAAGGCACACAGCTCGCCCAGCAAGGTTCCTTTAGCCGGGAGGATGGGAGACAAGAGATTGCAAAGAAACTCCTCATCTGCTACACAATCAAAATTTCCCCCCCAAATCCTATGATTTGATGGGTTTGTTACAAGCTCCTAAGAAAGAAATAGTAAGACATAACCATCTCCTAGCGCCGCTTTAACAATCTACAACTGGGGGAAAAAAAAGCAAAAAAAAAAAAGTCATTCTCTCTTTAAAAGGAGGGCATGAAGCGCTGCTTCCCCTGTGCAAAATTTGATGCTCCAGCCGCGCACAGCTCTGAGGACTGACCCCTGTAAAGTTGCGGTACCTAAGGGGAGCGGTACCCCGTGGGCTCTGGGGTGGGGAGGGCTACGGGATGGGCTGGCGCATCGTTGCCCAAAATCTCGGTGTCCTGCAGGAAGGCTCCTGGCGACGGGGCTCTTCCCGCTTCCCCCTTTCACAGAAACCCGCTACGGATCCCCACGCCAGACACCGGCAGACATATTTATAAAGCCAACCCGGG